AGAGAGAGAGAGAGAGAGAGAGAGAGAGAGAGAGAGAGAGAGAGATGAGCGATCCAAGATTGGTTGTCACTTACCTGTGAGCCGAGCGGTGGAATCCGGTGGAGGAGGAAGACGGCGGCCATAGCCGCGGAGCATTGACATAGAGTGCCGGAGGAGAGAGAAAGGGAGGACAGAGAAGGAGGGACTAAGGAGGTTGGAGAAGAAGGCAGACATAGCCGGAGGCGAGCACAAAAAAAAATAAAAATAATAATAATACAGCGGAAGTGAAGGGAAAGAAAGTGAAAGACGGGGAAGTAGACGGCAAGGGTGGCGAAGGTGAAGGTGCCGGCAGCCATAGCCGAGGTGAAGGGTTGAACGGGTGTTGACCAGGGCGTTGACCAGAGGGTTGACCAAGGATTGACCAGAGGGTTGACCAAGCATTGACCGGGGCTTGTCTGCGTTGACTCGACGTTTTCCAAGGCGTTGACCGGAGCTGCTGACCAAGATTGTGACCAAGCTGGAGTTGGTGATATCTCGTTGAACCCTCAGCCTATCCCCTTACCCTGTGGATGTGCACTTACCCCACGRTACTTGCTGAGTCTGTCTGTCTACTCTTTCTGCATTGAGTCTCTTCTGTCCTAGGTGCTCGGAATCTGTGGATGAAGGATAGGGCCTTGCTGCCAAACCTGCACGGGCTTAGTAGGACCAAAGCTCTACTCTGGCACTTGGAGACCTGGGCATGAGCGGCGAGCGCTCGTTAAACAACTCGTCTAGCCCAATGACCGGTACTGTCCGACAGGTCTACTGAGTTCAGTATGGAGGGTCTGAACTCCGAGCTGTAGGCTGAAACGAAGGCCGTCTTTAAGTGTTGAGGCCTGGTTGAGCCACTCCCCTACCGGACCCAGAAGGCTGATGATCCGTGTCTGACGACTCGACTGTCCCGAGGGATACGAACCCCTCCAAGGACCGGTACTGACCGGCGGACCGCTCGGTGTGGCACAGGAGGCTGGGCGGGCTGAGTTGTGGGCTGAAATCGCCAGAGGAACCAAGCTGATCGCGCCGTCCTGTCTGCGACGTTAAATAATTCTTGCGGAGTTTGGGGGATCTCCTTAAATGCCTCCTGATCAGCTTTTGGTTCTGTAGTGACAACCTTAGTTGACAGGGTCTTGTCCTGTGGTCCTTAGGAAGTCAGTCAGTAGGTTAGTGTGTCCGGGTAGGGCTACGTGGTGAGGAGTGGGACCCTTGTTGTGCACCAACACCACGATGGACGACTACCCGATGTATGGGTTGCTGGTTGGGTTCTCCCTCTGGGGGACCCTCTGGCGTCTCCTCTTTCCTCTGGGATTTTGGCATACCTTTGCGTGTAGAGTAGGGCCCACTCGAGGTAGTACCGCTGTCAGGCGGCCACAAGGGATGCGCCGCCTGAAAGCTGCGGCTTTGGGACCTAGGCTCAAAAACAAGTGTGTGTTTTGATGGTACTCTGGTTTCACGAGGCAGCAAAAATTAGGGGAACTCAGGGTACCCCTGATTTTGTGCGCATTGAACCTTACGAGTAACCCTCAAAGATGGCAAAATGGGTAGCCGCTCCCGGCACATCTTGGAACCGTCACTTCCGCCCGTCCCGAGGCTAGACCTGAAATAGCCGGCCGCTAAAACACATCGCGGGGACTGACCCCGCGGTAACGCCTTTTGCAGCACACGATCGGGGCCAAGTGATGCCTCGAATTTTTGTCAATTTTAATGCCGAAATTAAAATGGAAGAGACGGTTAAAGATGGTGGGATGAGAGAGAAAAACAAAATATTCTTTGATTTCTATATTTTCCATGACACTTAATTTTAGTAGAAACTCCGTCGTTATTTTACGTTTCCGGCAATGAGATCAAAAACGAAGAAAAGAGATTAAACATGACAAAAAAATAGGGAAACAAAAGAATTTCAATCATTTGATTTAAAACCCCTAAGTGTTTATTTTTTGTGAAATTGCGACTATTATACTAATTCAGACAATAGAATTAGGAAGAGAGTGCAATGATTAAAACAAAGACGGAACGAACAGGAACTACTGACTATTCGATGTCTCGCCTGATTTTGTTTGGATTACCCACCGTCAGCCCGGAACCCCGAGTTTATCAAATTCTCTGAACTCTAACCCCTTTTGTTACTATCCCCTGATGATCGGGATTTTTCGCGTCGTTCTCTTGATTTACCTGACTATTGACCCTCTGCGTCAGTCCGAGGATGGTCACATGGGCAGCGTGAAACGGTGCTGCTTTGGACCAACGGTATGATATTTGGGTCGGTACGGACACCAGTTCGGAGGGGTTCCGGTTATAATTCGGTGTTTTGGTTCGGGGTGGGCTCAGTATCAGTGCATTTCAGGTTCGGACATATCAGCGTGATTTATTGTTAGGCTTGGGGTTGCTACGGCGATCTATTTCAGCTTCGCCGCCGCCATGGCGGTTTATCCCGGGCACGGTGCTATCGTGGCCATTGATTTCGGATTCGGTATGACTCGACACGGACATATTTTTTTTCCAGCTCGACAAGGGCTCGACATCAGCTTATTTCAAGCTCGAGCAGATCAGGGTGATTTATTATCCGGTTTGGAACCACCACATTGATTTATTTCAGAATCGGAACAGCTTCGACGTGACTCCGACCGTCTACTTCCGGATCAGCACCAACACGACAACTTATTTCAACATCGAAGCCATTGCCACCTTAATTTTCTGGTTCGGTTTGGGGTCGGCTGGCACGGTACGGGCTATTTCAGCTCTCTGCGACAACGATCGGATGTGTGTGTGAAAAACGACTCCAAATGATTGATATGATTTGGTACGGGTGCTACGGTCGGAGGCATTGTCACGGAACAATTGCTGCAAAATACCGCGGCCAGTAGCTGTAGTCCCAGACGGCTATGTCAATGGGACTCAACGGTTCAATATTGAGGCCCTCTTCATCATCTTGGGTATGTACGGCACTGGCGTGAGGCTTTGGTCTGTCACCGGACTGGTACGGTCCTTGGGCCAATACAGCCAGGTCACGGGGCCGCAATACCATTATGCTCGGCACAATTTCTGATTTGGTAACTAGGACAGTTCTCTTTGATTTCGACTGCAACGCCTATCGGTACCGTTGGACTGGAATTTCCACAGTACGGGGGTACCCGGGCCCTCAGCAGCATGTGCTTCGTAAAAGGCTACGGTCGCAACATATAGGGAAAGGCAGCGAAGAGAGGAGGGACGCACTCAGTACGAGCAAGGTGTACCCGCGTATGCAAGCGCGGGGAAGACGCGTCAGCGCTGAGGCGGTTACTCCGCGTGTGAGGGGAGTGACGTGGAGGACAACATGCAAGGTGTACCTGACCCACAACATAGTGGGATCCAGGCAGGTCAACGCGTTGGGGGCAGCATGCAAGGCGTTCCCCGCCCACGTAGCATGCACAGAGGGGGGGTGCGGAGAGACTGAGAAAGAGAGTGAGAGGATCAGACTGCGCAGCGTGCTCGAGAGAGAGGGAGAGAGGCAGGGGGACTTGTCTTTGGGTGGCGTGCCAGGTGTATCTGACGTTCCGTTAGCACGTGTGGCGCGGGGTAAGGGGGAGAAATTGATTCTGGCAGGGTGCCAGGAGTACGGGGCGCTAGTTTGACTGAGAGGTGATGGTTCGGGAAGCAGACTTGGAGAGACGCGCCAGGCGTAGCCAGCTGATGATCCAGCAGCAAGGGAATCTGCACGCTCTCGGTAATTGCGAGAGCACGGCGTGCGCGGCTACCAGATGGGCAACACGAGAAGGGGAATGTGGCTCTACTGCAGATGGGATTTGCTGCCCCACGAGTGAAAACACCAATCACACTCTACTCCAGATGAGATCTGCTGCCATTGAGTGAAAGCACCAATGACACTCTACTGCAGATGAGATCTGATCTCTCACGAATGAAAACACCAATCACACTCTACTGCTGATTAGATCTGCTGCCTCACGAGTGAGAACACCAATCAACATCTACTGTTGATGGGATCTGTGAAAGT